AGTCGGATGCCTAACCGACTGAGCCACCCAGGCGCCCCCAAAACTAACATTTATTAAGCACTTACTGTAGACTTTAAGTGCTGGGGTTAAATGTTTTACATGCATTTTCTTCTCACTCCTTATGCTTTGTGGACGATATTCCCTTCTGCTGATGGGTAAGCTGAGGCACGCAGAGGTTGTCTCACCGGCCCAGGGAGCAGCTGGGAAGTGGCCCGGCTGGGGCCCAGATCAAGGCTGCCTGAGTCTAGAACCGTGCCCCACCCCCCGACGAGGATCAGATCTGAGTGTTTCCCCTCTTATTTCCCAGCTGGTCTTGTGTGCATTTTATTGGCCTTTACAAAATAGACCTTGTATATTTTATGTCATAAAATGTATTTTCTAAAAATGAGATCATAATCTAAAGATTCTTCAGCCACCCCTTTTCACTTCTCAAGACGTTAGGACCTTTGTTTGTTGGCAGCATATGTGAAAACCTCGTGTTTGTCAAAACGGCTAAGTACCCTGTCGTGTGGTCCTCTGGGGCTCCAGGGGTCAAAGAGTATGTGCCTTTATGGGTATTAGCATAGGGCCTTCCCAGAATGTCCTGCCAGGGTCTACACTCCCCATGGTGAGTGGGAGAACCCATTCCCCTTGTAAGTCTTTGTTAATCAGTTTACTGACGAGCTCGTAAAGTACACCTGGTGTGCTCGACGAACACTTTTCTTCCAGAAGGCTCTGCCAGTTGCTTCCACAGCTGCGTCTCCATGGCACCGCTGTTGGCCTTGTGCTCTAGACTCCCAAAGACCAGCTTGACAAAACGGTCTTGCATCCCCCTCTTTCCAGGCAAAGCGGGAAATGAGTGGAAAACCCCAGTACCAGACAGAGGCGGGTGCTGGCAAGCACCCTATGACTGTGGCCTGGCAGTAACCACCCTTCTCCCCCCCTCCCCCCCCCACAGGAATGCTACCTGGAGAGTGACCAGACCAGCCTCTACCATGCAGCCAAGGGGCTGATGACCCTGCAGGCTCTGTATGGGACGATCCCCCAGATCTTTGGGAAAGGAGAGTGTGCCAGGGTAAGAAGTGGCATGTGTTTCTGGGGTGAAGGAAGGGGTGCCCTGCTACCCAAAAGGGGAGTGATAGCAAGCTGTTTACAAATAAGTACAGCCAGTCCTGTCTGTGAATTCACCTAGTTGCTGAAATGTACTCGTAACCCCCCCAGACCGATAGTCACGGTGTTTTGTGGACAGGTCCAGGGTAGCAAAAAATTTGAGTTGTCCAATGTGCCTGTTCCCAGCTGACATCTCTGCCTTCTTGTGATGCTCTGCCTTCTTGTTTCATCTCTTGGACTATAAACGGGCACTATATAGTGCCGTGTGCTACTTAACGCCATATTTCTTGCACTTTTGTGCTTTTTATCGGTGATCTCACCGTTTCACATGGCCCCACAGGTAGTCCTAAAGCACTGTCCAGTGTTCCCAAGCTCAGGAAGGTTCTGGTGTGCCGTACGTAGAAAATACCTATGTTGGCTAAGCTTCTTTCGGGCATGAGTTACAATGCTGTTGGCTATGAGTTCATTGTTGGTGAATCAACAGTATATATTAAATAAGGTGTCTTTAAATAGAAACACACATTGATTAGTTGATAAAAATGTCACCAGAGGCTCATGGGAACTTAACCCCGTATTTCCCCTCAGAGCAGTGGCTCCGTATTCGCTAAGTCAGTGGTCATGGTGACTCTCCAAAAGTACCATGAATAACGAGAACAGACTGTGTCTGAGCTCATGCCTCGTTGAGTAGTGGCCGGTGTTGGGGTACATGTACGTGTTCGAGTGGGTGGCCAACAACAGACGCTCTTCTCTGTCTTGAGCTAAATTTGAAAATCAGCTAATTCCCAGGAAAGTCCCATCTGATCCAATGTTTGATTTCCAGCAAGTGGCCAATATGATGATCAGGATGAAGAGAGAGTTTACAGGAAGCCAAAATTCAATATTCCCTGTTTTTGATAATCTCTTGCTGCTTGATCGAAACGTGGATTTATTAACGCCTCTTGCCACGCAGCTTACGTATGAGGGACTCATTGATGAAATTTATGGCATTCAGAACAGTAAGTAAAGCGACATCTGTGTTTACTAACAGGTCACTGGATACAGACATCCGGAAGGTTTCTCCTTTTTTTTGAGATGCTGTCTTTGCATGTAAATCAGAGGATATTTGAGAAAATAAAAATACTGACTTTCGACTTTCAGACAAAGTCCAAGCAAAAACTGCTGTCGTCGGTGCCACAAGGGCTGGCCAGGTGCTTTGTGTGCAGGACTGTGCTTATCCCCGTGAGCTGTGGGCATGGGTTAGATTCAGGTGGCGTTGCAGTTCGGAGATTGTAGACCCTCCCGGCTGGCAGTTGCTCAGGAAAGCTTGTCGGAGAGGCGGCATTTGCCCTGGGTTTGCGGAGAGGGCACAGCGTGGGGCACACCATGTCATAAATGCAGGGACGCTACAGGGGAGATTGCTGTGGGGTATATCCAGGGAAGGGCAGGTAGTCGAGGTTGGGGACACCAGATGGAAGACTGGGGAGGCCGGCTAGCAGTTGGGTGCGACAGATTATTAGGTCAGAGGTCACTTTGGCCCACATGATGCTTGTTTCTGTCAGCATTTAAAATTTTAGAAACGTTTAGTAATAATCCTGATTGATTTATTTGTGACCAAAGTGTACCTTGATATGGGAAAAACTGAAACCTCTGTGCCATACGCCATTTTCCCTAAAGCCAAGGGCTTCCTTCTCTCCTGAGCTGGAGACTTCTGTTTTGAGCCTGGGCACTTGATCGGTTCTGCCGGTAAATTCACCCAGGTGCTTGTCTCCTTCCATTGTGGCTCAGGTTATGTGAAGTTACCTCCGGAGAAATTTGTACCTAAGAAACAGGGCGATGGCGGGAAGGACCTTCCCACGGAAGCCAAGAAACTTCAGCTGAATTCTGCAGAGGAGCTATACGCTGAGATCCGAGACAAAAACTTCAACGCGGTGGGCTCAGTACTTAGCAAGAAAGCAAAGGTGATCTCCGCAGCGTTTGAGGTGAGGCGGTCTGGCTGTCTTGCTGCGCCCAAGGTCACGGGCTAGACTGCCTCTCCCAGGAAGAGGGGCAGAGCCCCAGAGAGACACCCTCCTCCCCGCCCCCGCCGTGAAGCAGGGCGACAGCGTCATTGCACATTTCTCTCCTAAGGAGCTGTGCGTTTGGTCCTGGGGGCCCCACAGGCCTTCTTTTAGAACTCGTTCCCAGACCCACAACAGAAGGTTTTGAGCCCGCTCCTTTTTTGCAGGGTGGCAGGAGCTGGGTGTGCAGTTCACAGACTTGTGTCGTAAATATTTGCTTTACCCTCTTCTTTTTCGTGATTCCTACCTCACACAAGATGGAGCCAGCTGGGCCATAAATAAAAGATCCCCTATAATAGAACTTGCAGCTTGGGGTGGAAGCTCGAAGTTTAAGCCAGCGGGTAGGTGACGGGGGAGCCCCGCAGACATGGGAGGTGATAATGAGAGAGGCAGTTTCATTATCACCTTCCTGCCTCCTCTTGCCCGGCCACTGAGTTATTCTTGGGGGAACTCGTTTTGGAAACATGGAAATTCAGGAAGATGTTAAACCCTGAATATTTAGACTTTGGAAACATAAACTGGGAGAATTTTTGAAAACGAATTTCCCACCGAATATATATCAGATTTCATCTTTCTTAGGGATTATATTTATTAATTGATTGTCATATATATATATTTTTTATGTTTTAATTTTGAGAGGGAGAGTGCGAGCAGGGGAGGGGCAGAAAGAGAGGGAGACAGAATCCGAAGGAGGCTGAGCTGCCAGCACAGAGCTCGAACTCACAAACCGCAAGATCATGACCTCAGCCACCCAAGCGCCCCTGATATTCATATTTCTGAAGTTCCTTTTGGTTTAAATGATTACATTTTGAAAAAAAAAAATCACTAAACGAGGTTCACTTTTCCATGGACGATATTCAAGGTTGAGATCCAGCAGTAAGAATGAGTTTTTTTATTATTATTATAGAGGACATTTCTTGCTGCTTACGTTCCCCTCTTGACAGCGTTTCTGTGTTTTACTCGAAGCGCTTGTGGGTAACCTAATAGGGTCCCCCACGAATACTCCAGTGTTACTCCAATGTCTGCAGATACCACTCACAATCTGAGCCCGGGCAGAGGAGGAGAAACCCTCACGTTTGCTCTCTGAACTACCGACACGGTCATCAGGCACCACGAACTCCTCTTTTTTGTTTCATTCGTAACGTGGGAGCTGGGTTTGGCCTGCTTTATTTGTATCCCTTTCTTTCTTTCACATTGATAATAAATGAAACATCCTCTGAGCAACGCGCAGAACGGAGCGCTTTAAAACTACCTTCCCTGGGGCGCCTGGGTGGCTCAGTCAGTTAAGCGTCCGACTTTGGCTCAGGTCACGATCTTGCGGTCCGCGAGTTCGAGCCCCGCGTCGGGCTCTGGGCTGATGGCTCGGAGCCTGGAGCCTGCTTCCGATTCTGTGCCTCCCTCTCTCTCTGCCCCTCCCCTGTTCATGCTCTCTCTGTCTCAAAAATAAATAAACGTTAAAAAAAAAAATTAAAAAAAAAAAATACCTTCCCTGCCCGATGGGTCTGCTGTTCCATCCATTTCAGGAAAGGCACAACGCCAAGACGGTCGGGGAGATCAAGCAGTTCGTGTCCCAGCTGCCCCACATGCAGGCAGCGAGAGGCTCGCTCGCAAACCACACGTCGATCGCAGAGTTAATCAAAGACGTTACCAGTGAGTATCCTGTGGAGGGAAGGTTTTCATCTGGGGCCGACCTGCGCACACCGGGGTCATTGGCACTGTGACGCCTCCTTGGGAAAGGCAGCTCCGTTTTAACATGTTATTTGCAGCGTTAATTAAGTGTGTGCACGTTCATAGTTAAAAGTGTTCCATTCGTAGTTAACTCATTTTTTCCTGTTACTAAAACACTATAATCCTAAGACAAAATACTTGGAAGAGTGATAAGAGAAAAAAACTCTACTGAGAGTTTGCCGCCATAATGAGGCTCTATTTTTTCTATTTTTTTTATTTCTTCAGCCTAGTGTTTTCCCTCTTGCTAAGGGTTATTTAATCAGAGCAATGTGACGTTTCCACATTTGTTTTTGTTTTTCCCTTGAAAATCTCCTGCAGAATGGGTAGCGAGCTCACACGCTGAGTATTTTGAAAGAACTCAGAAGAGATATATTAAACCAAAGACGAGTTTATTCCTAAAACATGGGTGCCCCGTATTATGAAGTGTACTTTGAACCTGAAGTAAAACATGGTATTAGAAAATCAGTCTTTTGTTTTCATGTCCGTTGAAATCCGTTAAAACTGGTGGAATTTGCTGATGGTAGTGAAATGCTGGGGAGATTAGCTTTCCCTGTTAGGGCACAGTTCTTGAGATCTCTGTTGAGTCCTGAGGATCGCCAAGGGGTACAGCGGTCAACTACGTCTTGATGTAATTTAGGAGGATCGTGCTGTAGGATTTTCCATGTTTTTAGAAGATTGTTTTCAGATGACAATTTATTCGATTAAAAAAAACCTTTTTTTTGATGTTTATTCATTTTTGAGAGAGAGAGAGAGACACAAAGAGCAAGTGGGGGAGGGGCAGAGAGAGAGGGAGACACAGAATCCCAAGCAGGCTCCAGGCTCCGAGCTGTCAGCACAGAGCCCGCCGCGGGGCTCGAACTCCCGAGCCATGAGATCATGACCTGAGCTGAAGTCAGACGCTTAAGCAGTTGTGCCCCTCAGGCGCCCCTCCGATGACAATTTGAATCTTTTGCTTGCTTGCTTTTTTTGCACGTCTCGTTTCTTCATCATCTTCTGTGTAGAAAAACACAGTGTTCCAGTAAATTAACATTTACTTAATATCTAAGTTGCAAATTTGCTAATTACATTTTAGCCTCTGAAGACTTCTTTGATAAACTAACAGTGGAGCAGGAGTTTATGTCTGGAATAGACACTGATAAGGTATGTGAACAGTCAACTAGCAAATAATTGATGATTTGTTGGACGTAAGATTATAGCTAGAAGAGCAGCTGCTTTGATTCCCATGCCTAGCCTAGGTATTTTTGAGAGTGAGTGCAGAATGTGAAAATCTGGGTTTCACCAAGTAGCAGTTCCTTAACTTTGCTCTGTGCAAGGTGTTTTCTGCAGTGCATGGAGTGATGGAGACCCAGCCCTTGAAATCAGCAGTGTTTAAGGCCTGTAGTAGATAAATTAAGAGATTTGCTTTCTGAGGGAATTGGGTCATTTAATTCCTTTAAATATCCACTTCTGTTCATGTATTTAAAATTATTTCATTCACAGAAATTCCTCTTTTCTCTAGAAAAGTTCCAGACCGTATGGTCCATAATTCGCCGTTATAATTGAAGTAGATGCAGTCACACATGCCCCAGCCTCCCCGCAGCCTCTCAGGAAGTGGTCTGCAGTGTGTGGACGGGCGTTTGCATCACTAAGTGCATCCTCCACTTTGAAAAATAATAGTAAATATTAAGTTCTTTAGGTCCCCAAAGCGGACGGTGGTATGCATACGTATATATTTGTTTCCAGGTCAACAGTTACATCGAAGATTGTATTGCCCAAAAGCACCCACTGATCAAGGTGTTAAGACTGGTTTGCCTCCAGTCTGTGTGCAACAGTGGACTCAAACAAAAAGTTTTGGATTATTACAAAAAAGAAATTCTCCAGGTCAGTATGCTTTAAGTTACTCATTTACCAAGGGAGGAAACATCTTTTTTAAAAAATACTTCTTGGTATTTTGAATACCAAAAATACTTCCGAGCGCTTGGGTGGCTCAGTCGGTTAAGCGTCCCAACTCTCGATCTCAGTTCGGGTCTTGATCCTCAGGGTGGTGAGTTTGGGCCCTGTGTGGGACTCTGTGCTGGGTGTGAGGCCCACTAAAACAAAAACAAAAGCCTTTTTAATTAAAGCTCCTATTTTGATACATTGTTTCCACGGTCTTTTAAATTTTCTAACAGGTAGAGGGGTTGTCCTTGGTATTGATCACTATTTACTGTGTTCGCATAATGACACCTGATGTTTATCGAGCATTTACTGTGTGCCAGGCTCTACTGAAAGAGCTTTACTGGGGCTCCTGGGTGGCTCAGTCGAGCCGGTTAAGCATCCGACTTCGGCTCAGGTCTCACAGTTCGTGAGTTTGAGCCCCGTGTCGGGCTCTGCGCTGACAGCTCAGAAGGTGGAGCCTCCTTCAGACTCTGTGTCTCCCTCTCTCTCTGCCCCTCCCCTGCTTGCACTCTGTCTCTCTCTGTCTCAAAAATAAATAAACATTAAAAAATTTTTAAATTAAAAAAAACAAAGAGCTTTATTGTATTCATTCGTTTGACCTTCACTGCAGCCCTGTGTGTTAGATGCTGTTATCATCCCCCTTTTATGGATGAAAACACTCAGGCACAGAGTAGTTACATAGCTTGCCCAAGGTCACCCAGCCAGTAAGTGGCAGAGCCAGTGCCAAAACCCAGGGAACTGGGGTCAGGTGCCCATGCTCTTAACCAGACTGCATTTGATTCAGGAAGGGACCTTTTTGCAAGTATTCTGATAATAATTCCTTCGCAGACTTATTTAGAGTAAGCCTGTTTTACTTCATAATTAGGAAGAAGCCACCTTTATTTTAAAAAATTCTGCCCTCTGTTTGAAAACGTCTCAGGGAATATTTATTTGCTATTACCATCCACGATTAAATACATTGTTGTTAAAACTAAACGCTCATTCAGTTTTTTTTGTTATTCTCTCGTTTTGTCTTTTATTGTTCGTTTTTATTTTTTTAATATTTATTTATTTTTGAGACAAAGGGAGACAGAGCGTGAGCAGGGGAGGGGCAGAGAGAGGAGACACGGAATCCAAAACAGGCTCCAGGCTCCCAGCTGTCAGCGCAGAGCCCGACGCGAGGCTCGAACCCACAAACCATGAGATCATGACCTGAGCTGAAGTCGGACGCCTAACCAGTGGAGCCACCCAGGCGCCCCTCTTGTTTTGTTTTTAAAAAAATTACACAGATAATACACGCGTTCTTATCACATAAGAGTCTGGTAAGGTGTACCTGGAGCCAAATGGGATCCTCTGCCCCTCGCTCACACCACCTGCCTCCCCAGATAGGACCAACAGTTTGTTTGCGTGCTTCCAGACTCTTCTTTGCACTTTTGTACAAAGAATATTTACGTACACAGACTTGGGGGCGAGACTGGCTGGATCCATGTCTCAGCTCTGCTGCTCATTAGCCGTGTAACCTTGGGCCGGTTCTTTAAACTCCTCCATCAAATGGAGACGATACTACCACCTACCTCACTGGCTTATTAGAAAGATGACTGAGTTAATGTATGCAAAGCTCTTAGAACAGATTACTGCCGCCCCTGCTCACAGAAAGTATGTAAGTACTGACCATTGTTACTATTACCTACTGTATCTTTTCTAAAACAGAAGTAAAATCCTACGGTACATAGTGTTCTATTGTGATAGTTTTTGTCCTTAATATATCCAGATCTTTCTTGGCGGGATGTGTAGATGTCCCTCGTTCTTGTTTTTTAATATCTAATTATATCTCATATAAATACATAATTTATTTGTAAATTGGAAGATGTGTATTGCAAAGTACATAACACATTTATTTATTTATTTATTTATTTGATGCTCACTTAAGTTGCGTCTATAAATTCTGATTTTAAAGTAAAATCTTTAGGGGCTCCCGGTGGCTCAGTCGCTTAAGCGTCTGACTTCAGCTCAGGTCATGATCTCACAGTTTGTGGGTTCAAGCCCTGCGTTGGGCTCTGTGCCGACAGCTCAGAACCTGGAGCCTGCTTTGGATTCTGTGTCTCCCTCTCTCTGTCCCACTTCTCTCCCGCTCGTGCTCTCTCTCCCCCCCCCTCTCAAAATAAACATTGAAAAAAAAAAATAAAAATAAAGGAAAAACTTTAAATTCCTCTTCGAAACAGTGAGCTGGGTTCATTTTAATGGGTAGGCAGGTCTCATCCCCCGCAGACTTTGGTAACGTGACCTCAAGTACGAACCGAATTGATTTGTGGGAAGTGCTCTTTTTAGAAAGTGGCAGAAACCCTTTTCCTGATCTGACATCAATGCCAAACGACTTCTCTTGCAGACGTACGGCTATGAGCACATACTGACCTTATACAACCTAGAGAAGGCTGGCCTGCTGAAACCACAGACGGGGGGCAGAAACAATTACCCAACGATCCGGAAAACGTTACGCCTCTGGATGGATGATGTAAACGAACAGGTAAGACACACCCCTCCTCTTCAACTCAGTTTACCTATTGTTAACGGTTTATTGTGACCACATATGGTACTTGATTTACACATCCACCATGCATTTTCTAGAAACAGTTTTCTAGTGTGTTTGAGAAAGTAATGCATTCGCGTGTTCCATCTCCCAGAATCCCAGCGGGGAGCGGAGAGGGTGCTCTCACACTGGGTGGTTTGAGGAGAGTTTCGGGAGATGTGGGCAGGGTGGGAACCTGTGAAAGGAGTCAGTGGCGATTCCTTGCCAGCCTGGGCCCGAGGGCAAGGAGAAGGAGCTGTCGCAGAAACCCGTTCCACAACCTGGAGAAAAGAGCTGTGTGGAGAGGCCGCCTGACAAGACGAGGGATGAGAGAGGCCTGTGGTCGAGGGACACAGCCAGCCTCCAGCAGTGTCGCCAGAGGAAGCCAGGGCAATAACCCTGACGCCATGCTGCTGCCCACTCCCCAGGTTTCCATCCGGTGCCTCCCATTGGCCGAACCCGAATCGGGCACGGGAGCACGTTGGTATAGAGCCTGCGGGTTCGCCTCCTGGACACAGAGCACCGAGGAGGGCAGAGGGATCGAAAATATTCAGCACGTGTGGTAAAAATGTTGGCCAATACAAAAGTAAGACGAACAGTGAGGAGTCAGGTTCCCTCCACACCTAACCCAGGTTTTCCCTCAGAAGGAACCACTGTAACCATTTTTTTTTAATCTATCCTTCCAGGAAGAGTCTTCTGTATCTACTGACATTTTAACATAAATGATGAGTATTTTCAGAGCGCCTGGGTGACTCCGTCGGTTAAGAGTCCGACTCGGCTCACGTCATGATCTCGCAGTTTGTGAGTTCAAGCCCTGCATTGGGCTCTGTGCTGGCAGCTTAGAGCCTGGAGCCCGCTTCAGATTCTGTGTCTCTCTCTCTGCCCCTTCCCTGCTTGTTCTCTGTCTGTCTCAAAAATGAGATGAGATGAGATGAGATGAGATGAGATGAGATGAGATGAGATGAGATGAGATAGTATTTTCTACCACTGACCCTCAAAGCAGAGTGCACTTTGCTTTACATTTACTATTGATGCCAGTCTTTCTAAATTTCTTTTTCTTATTTTCTGTTTTTGGACTTTCATAGGCACTTTATCAGGCTGCCTCCTGCAACAAAAGCTAATAATTAAAAAGCCTCCTCTTCCAGTGGCAAAATTGGATTATCTTTCCCCAGCGGGAGTATAGATACTCTTGATTTCTACGTTGTACAGTGTAAACACTATGCTAGTTCCACTCTCTCACTGTTCTTTTTTTTTTTTTTTTTTTTTTTTTTTTTTTTTTAATGTTTGTTTTTGAGAGAGAGAGAGAGAGAGCACATGAGTGAGGGAGGAGCAGAGAGACAGGGAGACAGAGGATCTGAAGCGGGCTCCGCGGGACTCGAAGTCACGAACTGTAAGATCACGACCTGAGCTGAGGTCGATTGCTCAACCGACTGAGCTACCCGGGCGCCCCTCCCTCACTGTTCTGATCTGTCCCTCCCCACCCCAACCACCACTTACCACTGTGTCTTGAAGATCCTGTGATCTACTTCATTCTTTTTTGTAAGTTTTTTTTTTTTTAATGGTTGCAGAGCGGTCTTGCAGATAAACCTTAATTTACGACTTGCCAGATTTCTCCTGCTAGAAATTCAGGGTGTTTCCAGTCTGTTGCTAGCACCCATGGTGTTAGTTTACCGGTTTGCGCTTCGGTCTGTGCTGGTACAAGCCCCCTCTGTAGGGTAAATACCTAAAAGTGGGACAGCCGGGTTCAAGGGGTGGGCTCGTTGTTACTCAGCTAGAGAGCGCCGGCTTACCCTCCAAGAAGTTTCTTGCCAGACCAGGTAACCTCGTTTCGTGGCCAGTACCTAGAGATGCTTTGAGTGGCGTTTCCAAGATTTGAGTGGGAAGCGAACCTCTGGCAGCTAAGGATTGGGCCCAGCCAGGGTGGACTGGAGCAGGACGTGGACGGCCTTGCTTTGTGTTTCTGCCCTCACAGGCAAATCGCGTATTTTGGGGTTCCCCGTAAGGCTACTGTTCAGTGACTCTGTGTCTCTATAGTCTTTTTTCCTTTAATTATTTAACAGAATCCCACGGACATATCCTACGTGTACAGCGGCTATGCCCCTCTCAGCGTGCGGCTGGCCCAGCTGCTGTCCCGGCCGGGCTGGCGAAGTATCGAGGAAGTTCTGCGCATACTCCCAGGGCCCCACTTCGAAGAGCGGCAGCCGTTGCCCACGGGACTGCAAAAGAAACGTAAGTCGGTGGCCAGCATCTGCGACCGCGCACCGCCGGTGGATTATGCGGTTGCCCCGTAAAGTACCCGGAAGTCAGAGTCTGGCGCACCTCTCGTTGGTTGCTGGTGGAGGGTGTGGGCACTGGAACCCGCCCTCCCCGCAGGAGTGACAGCTCTTAACCTCTGAGTTGAGGGTCTCCATAGTTAGAGAAAACGGTGAGATCCAGATCGAGTTCCTGAGTGTCCAAGGAATTGTCTGCACCAAGACCCAGTCACAGTTACCATTTTTTTTGCTCCTTACACACGATGCCGTTTTTTTAAGAGGTGGGATGAGAAACACCCATAATAAATAATTCTTCACTCTGAAATGTTTCCATTTTAGGTCAACCGGGAGAAAACCGAGTGACTCTGATATTCTTCCTCGGGGGCGTAACCTTTGCTGAAATTGCTGCCCTGCGATTTCTCTCCCAGTTGGAAGATGGAGGCACAGAATATGTCATCGCCACCACCAAACTAATGAATGGGGCCAGCTGGATCGAGTCCCTAATGGAAAAACCTTTCTAGGGTGCCCAGAGTCGAGTGAACTGTAGAGGAAGCTCGTTTGGAGAGGCCGCCACAAGGAAGGGAGACCTCGCTGAAGAGAAACGGAAGAACACAGAATTTACTTCGGGGTCAGCTTCTTAAATTACACGGTTTCCTCCTCTCTGCTTCTCTTTTGTGTTTCTAATTTCCGGAAGAAAGAAGACCAGAAGAGAATCAACCTGGGTAAAAGAAACACCAGTTGTTAACGTCCTAAGCTCAGGACCCTCCTTAGAGACTTCTGGAAGCGTGCGAAGGACAGTGGGGATGGATCGTCTTCTGCCGCTGCACACGGGGGGCCAGTGCTTAAAATAAGGCAGGGACTGAGGAAGTAAAAACGAGAACTAGAAAGGCTCACCCCTGATTGAATAGTACCGTCTTTCCCGTCATGCCCAGGGCAGTGGCTGAGTGTGGAGGCAAGAGCTCGTCTCGTCTCAGAGTTGAGATTTCTTTCTCCTGCAGAGCCTGGCACGTTGTATTTGGTGTCACCCCCTCCGTCATATCCGATCGTGAAGGCAAGTGTTGATCCCTTGTGCTTTCTGCTTTCACTTCCTCCGCTTCGATAAAGCAAGAGGCCTGGAGGGACTTCTTTCTCCAGATCAAAGCTTATGTATCATCTGTCTGACCAGCTAAACTCCTGTGGCTCCCGTACTTCTCAAGGGCTTGTTACGTTGAGGGGCATGAGGATTGGGGAGCAGCTTCCTGGGAATTTTCTGAGACACTTTTCCAAGACACTTGCTTAGCACACGTCTTATAAACTCCAAGACGTTTCCGTGGCAGATGCCTCCACCCGGGGCTTCAGTTTTCTTCCCCGGCCATCACGGGCCCCAGCCTCCAGCTGGTCCCACCCGGAGCAGTCGTGACGTCAGCATTTGCCGACGCCATCTCCACGGTAACTGCCCCCGCGTACTTGTGTGCCGCCGCTCCACACTCGGCCTCTGGCAAAACACGGCTCCGCTTCAGTCCCTGGTCCGGTACCTCAGCCTCTTCTGGTGCAGCTCGTCGATGGTCTTGGAGACCAGCTGCTCTTGCAGGAGGCGGTTAGTTAGCCGTGGGGCGGAGGAGTGGGGTGTTGGTGGAGAGGCTGGAAATCGGCGTGCGTCCCCTGCCTCCCTCCTGCTCCGTCCCAACGCCTGGAAGAGTTAAATCCAAGAAGGGGACCAAATGGATGGCTTCGTGGCCCTTGCACAAGTCTCCCCTCTGCCGGGGGACCACAGTCAGCATCCCTTCTGAGGCAGGGTGTGGTTTCTGTTGTTCATTAGTAACCATACATGTTTTTTCCTCACTTTGTTTCATTAATGAAATTCTGTCAGCTCATTGCATGTTATGAGTGAAAGAGAAATTCTATAATAAATCTCTTTCAGAGTGAGGTGTAGAAGAGGTCATATTTAAGAGATTTCCTTCTCACGCATTCAACTTGGCCTTGACCTTCAGTGTTTGGAAAATGGTCTTAAAAAAGAAAACTACCCCTGGTTTAGAAGGTCCTTTTTCAAATACTTGTTATCCCAGGGAGACTACTTTATACCTTCCAGCCCCAGCTGTTGTCAGCTTCATCTGCCTTAGAGAATGAAATCCACCTTGCCTCTCAATGTTTTTGGCTCATGGGATTCAATTCAAGTCTGGTCAGGTCTCCTTGGCTGGGGTTTTTGTCCTATGAACAGATACTCAGTTGTGTCTCCTGTGTCTGCATTCACTCGTGACTCTGTACTTGGCTTGCTCAGAGCATAGTTAGGTCAGCTCCCAAAATGCATCTAGCAGAAGACTTAAAAACATCAATTGCTTCATTTGTATGCAAATAGAAAGTGGGGGATAATTGTATATTATCCGCCTTTGTGTAAGTTCACTTAATACTTGAAGCAGCCTTTGTCTCCAAGGAGTATGCCCTTACTGAGAAAGGGTAGGTGAATGGTACATTTATTCCTGGAGAGGGCGGATTGTTTACATCATGTCTGGACTTTTGTCTAGTTAGGCAGACAGTTCTGCTACACCAGCAACTCCATAAAAAAGAAGTCTGCATAGATAAGTATACATAAGCACTGTTCTGTGTCTTACTGTACACTTTTGAATTTTAGCCAACAGGGAAGCATTTGTAGTTGAACTGTAGAGCAAGAGAATCCAGGCATGCTGAGAGAGACTGGGGACGGATCTTTTGGTTTCTTGGTGCATATGAAAGTTATGTTTACACTGTACTGTAGTCTCTCCAGTGCGCCATAGCATTGTGTCTAAAGAGATACATAATTCTCAATTTAAAAATATTACTAAAAAATGCTAGCCATCATCTGAGCTTTCAGTGGGTTATGACCACAGATCACCATAACAAATATAATAATGGTGGAAAAGTTTGCGATATCACGAGAATTACCAAAACGCGACACGGAGACACATTTGATCTTAGCCAAAAGGCCGAGAAGCGATGGCACGGAGACGTAAAGGAAGCAAATGCTATTGGAAAAATGGCGCTGGCAGACCTGCGCAATGCAAGGCCGCCACAAACCTTCAGCTGTTTAAAAAAAAAGAAAAAAGCCCACCATGTCTCCAAAGCACATCGAAATGAGGTGTGTCTGGGTACCTGGGCGGCTCAGTCGGTTAAGCATCTGACTCTTGATCTTGGCTCGGGTCATGATCTCACAGTCTGTGAGTCTGAGCCGCGCCTGAGGCTCTGCGCTAGCACTGCAGAGACCGCTTGGGGTTCTCGCTCTGTCTCTCTCTCCGACCCTCCCTGCTCGCTCTTGCGCTCTCAGAAAATAAAATTGTTTTGAAGATTGGCATATCGCCACGAGGAAGTATTTGTATTCAGCAGAAATTCAAGAAGAAATACTTTAAAAAAAAATACCAAATGCACTGAGTGTCTAAAGCAGACTGAAAGAGAGGCTGTGGTCAAGATGGCAAGGCATAGAAGTGCAGCATCACGTGAACTGAATCACGGAGAGACTGAATTATCCTCTACAGCCGGATGTATTATACTCGCATAGTTTGAGGACCTCCTGTAGAAAATAGAGGATGCCTTTCTGTCAACCAGTGATCTAAAACAAAAAGGCAGTATGTCCACTTCCTCGGTTGGTCTTATTTCTAAATGATGCATGTGAATTTCAAGCCACATAATGTTTCTTCGCTTCCATTACTTCGTGGTGACCAGAGTCTGCAGAGGTTAGAATACTTAACTGCTCTGAGACGTCCATTTGAAGGACAGGAGAGTGTAAGGAGACAGAGCTGAGCCTGCTCTCCTAGCCTCTCTTTTTCATCTGTTGCTGTGGTGTGGGGTGAGGGCATAAATCTTAGCCATACTTTCTTTCCTGTCACTAGGCAGGACACAGAAGCCCTCCAGATGACCAATTCTCTGGGGGAGCAATTACTACTCACTGGCTTCCTGGGCAGCTTGATAATGTTCTGCTCCTGTTTTCAGCCAGGCTGCGGCCGGGGCAGTGATTTGATAATAACAGACCCTGATTAAATTAAGGAGCCATTTGCTTGTGGATGATGATGTTGATAAAAGGGTTGATGTCCACACTCTCATCTATTTTTAAAGGTCAAAAAACAGTCTCTAATCACAAACTACAGCAAAAAGCAAAATAATCCGAAACAGTATAAAGTTTGTGCTTTCCCTTCGTTGTCCATCTGGGAAAGGGTCTGTTATTTGCTGACATCCTTACTGGCTGTTTTTGCATCACATTTGGAGTTGAAATTAGAAGTAGGCTCATTGGGAAGGTGACTGTATCTCATCTCTAAACTGCTAAACTCTGTAAATTACAATCAAGCACTTAGGAGCTCTTGGTTCTCTAAGCTCCCGTTTCTCACATACATGTATGCTCGCACTTACATGTTTTTTCAGACAACAGCTTTTGCTTTAGTTGGAAAGTTGTAAGTGAAAGTTGTATATCGGTTCTTCTACTCTGAGACACAGAGTAGGACGGGGTTCCTCTCGGTGTAGGTTAGAAAAGGATTTGCACTATATCCCACCCGCGGTGTTTAGAAAAGCAAGACAAGAAGGGACATGAAAAATCCCCTCGTGTACCACTTGCTCAGCCCATCTGATTGGGGAGCTTTGCAGGCATCGTTAGAGCCCTGTGGGCTGTGGCAGTGAAATGGGCGGAGGGCAGGCAGGGTTGCCAGTGCCCCGCCTGGCCTGAGACGGGCCGTGCGCAGCTCCCTGATTGCTCAGGGACCACGGGGAGACTCTGATTGGTCTCTAGACCACACCTAGTTGGTGAGCGCAGCTGCTGCCTGAATATCCCACAGCTCTGCCGAGGCCACTGGAGTACGCACACGCCTACCTTTAGACACCAGACCGGGAGAGGAACCGTGGAGCTGCTGCAGCGGAGGAGTTGTGGAAACTTTGCTGAGTGAGTAAAATGGGGAGAGAAGGAAGCTAGTGGCTGGGCCTGAGGGGAGGTTGCTGGGCAGGACAGCAATGGAGATAAAGAGATTGTTGCCATTGATTCCATCAGCGGTGGAAGATAACAGGACTGGAGCAGATGCACAAGGGGACAATGGGAAGGAGATAAGCCCAGAATCAAATTGATGCCCACTTCTTGGCACTTCTGCAACACTGGCTGGCCGGAAGGGCAAGCGTGCCAGGCTATAACACAAAAGACTCTCAAACTGCATGTTATCAAGCCTTGGGGTCCAGGGAATTGCTGAGGGGCTTCAATGAGGACCTGCTGCCTTCTCCCACCCAAATGGGTCCCTCTCCTTTTCCCCTACCAGGCAGCACGGGCAGCTGGGGCCGCAGCTTGAGTAATGGGAAAAGAAAGCTTTACTTCATTAGGCCATTAGCAGCACTCACAGCATTAAAAATGCAGGAGGTGGATGGGAAGAGAGAGCCAGAGATGAAGACTAATGCAGCAGCGGAGACTGGGAACAGACAGGTTTCTCTCTCCTCACAACCCAGACCCAGATTAGGAGTCCTAGAACAAGGAGAACTTTTGGTTTAAAAGACTTCTATTAGTATAAATGCAAAGAGGGCGTCCAGATGGTTGTTAGGGAGAAAGTCAGCACTTGGGGCTTTCTCAGCCTTAGGGCAGCATGTTTACGCTTTTGAGGGCCAGGAGCTAGCCTAGTCCCCCTGTATCCACATTGTCTATAACACCGCCTGGCTCAGCAGCGCTTGCGGAGTGGCCAATGGAGGGTGGGCTTACGGGGAGGAAACTGTCTTTGCGTGCGTCCAGGGACTCCAGAGTGCCCCCGCCCCACAGGTCCTCGGGCCTCCCGCTCCCTGCGATGCCGGCCTCGTCCACCATCCACGTGCTGCAGCTGCGGGAGCTGCTGGCCTTCGTGCTCCTCACACGGTGCTCATCGGAGCGCTGCTGCTGGCCGGCTGGACCACCTACTTCCTGGTGCTGAAGTGACAGCGCCCAGCACCGCCCCCCGCCCCGCCCCGCCCACCTCGTGCGAGCCCCCAGCGGCCGGAGCCACCGCGCGCTGCTCCGCCTCCTGCCGGACACCTTCCACCCCCTGACGGAAGAACTCTGCGCCTCGCGCTCGGGCCAGGGCTGCCTCTCGAGGCAGGGCCTCGCCCGGGTAGGTATCCAACTTCCTCTCACGACGGCCGACTCCGCCCCGCCCGCTCAGCGCCCTCAGGCCCGGGGCCCGCCCAGTCCCACGCGGAAGCTGCGGCGGTTGGGCGCTCGTCGCGGCCGTTACTGCCGTTACCCTAAGCCCCGCCCCTTCCCTCCAGACTGTCCAATCCCAACTGTTCTCTCGGGCGGGGGTGCGGTCATGGGGTCAGGCCCACTCAAGAAGAGGCCGCGCCCCGTCCCCCGCTCAAGAAGTGGCGTCACTTCCGGCGTGTGCGTCTGGCGTTCGGCCGCCGCAGGATGGCGGCCCTGAGGAGCTGGGTGTCGCGGAGCGTAGCCTCCCTCTTCAGGTACTTCTGTGGTCGGGTGCAAGGGCGGTGCCGCAGGGTGGGAGGCACCGCAGGGGGAGCCATGGCCGGGATGGCAGCGGCCGCCTAGGTGGCACGCTTTTGGCTTCTCGGCAGAGCGGGTCCCGGCGTCCCGCCCCTCTCAGATCCGAGGACCTCCTGTGTCCCGGGCTGGAGGCCAAGCCCGGCGTCTGTTTCTCACTGACGGCTTTCCCGTTATTCCACTGGCCGAGTGCCAAGCCCCACAAGCTCGGGCTGGCTTCCTGGAGTGCCTCGGCCTGCCAGCGAGTTCCCGTTAGCCCCTCGGAACCACTGGAGGGAGATAAGGGGAGAGGCCCTGGCGGGGGGCCGATTGTCAAGGAAGTGTTCCCTGAGGGCAGGAGGGGAGTTGGTCAGTCCCCGCGCGGGCACTGCCGGGTGCGTCCTCTGCACACCGGGGAGCCCTTCGCGGCACCTGCGGACTCCAGGTGTTGCCTAGCGGGGACTCTCGGGGACACCTGGAAACCTCAACCCGAGTTCCGGAGCTGAATGCTGCCTGCAGAAGCGTTTATTTTGGCCTGAGGTTTTTAAAAAGCTTTGAGACCGCCTTTTAAACTTCCATACTCGCTACCGGTTAAAGTCCGAAACCACCGGGCTCGCCTCCCCGCGCGGCAGCGGTTCACGGGAGTTGGGTAGCGGTTGCCCTTTCGATCGAGTCCTGGGCTGTCCAGTCCGACGCGCTTCCTCATGAGCCCTGTCATCTGGCGGGCCGACCCAGCGCCTCATTTAGGCTCCTGCTCGGCCCGGTGTGAGTTTTCAACCCCTGCAAACGAATTGAAGAGACTTACAGATTGGTAGTTACGCCTTATTAAATTTGACTTCTAGGTACAGACGGTGTGTTCCTGTCGTGGCTAACTTTAAGAAGCGCTGCTTCTCAGAACTGATAAGACCCTGGCACAAAACTGTGGCAGTTGGATTTGGTGTGACCCTGTGTGCAGTTCCCATCGCACAGGTAAAAATACTGTAGTGTCCCTGTTTCTTTTTTTTTTTTTTTTTTTTTTTTTTTTCAACGTTTATTTATTTTTGGGACAGAGAGAGAGCATGAACGGGCGAGGGGCAGAGAGAGAGGGAGACACAGAATCAGAAACAGGCTCCAGGCTCTGAGCCATCAGCCCAGAGCCCGACGCGGGGCTCGAACTCACGGACCGCGAGATCGTGACCTGGCTGAAGTCGGACGCTTAACCGACTGCGCCACCCAGGCGCCCCAGTGTCCCTGTTTCTTAGTGTACTGTGCCCTCTTGAAGTCTCGGGGGTGGGGCGCACTGAACCATCAGACAAGCTCTTAGTTTCACCCAGTGCTCCTACCCCCATGCGACAGTTTACTTTCTACCATACCAGCGTTATTTCTTCATAACTGAACAAATATATTAATACTCCCGTTTTAATGGTCCCATTTGGTAGGAACAGTATGTCAAATTGTATAAAGAGGGGAGAGGAATAAGACGAGGGTATTACAGTCTATCAACAGAGTAGTCTTTCAACAAAAATTTATTGAGCAGCTTTAATGTGCCATTGCTAGAAATGTAAGAACAAAACAAAGTTCCTGCGTTCATAAAATTTACATTCTAGGGAAAAGGGGAGAAAATAAATATAAATGCCAGGTGATCAGTGCTGTGCAGGAAACAAATAGAATAAGAGAACGGGGAGTGCTTGGAGGGAGTTGTTTTGTTTTTAGGTAGGAAAGGGTAGCCCAGGAGGGCTATTCTCATAAGGTGATGTCTAAATAGGGATCAGAATGAGAAAATGAGCCATGGTAATGTCTTGGAGAAGAGTTTGCCAGGCAGAAGGAATTCTTGAGTACAAAGGGGTAGAAGCAGGTGTATGTCTGATATGTTTGATGAACAGCAAACAGGTTAATGTGGCTGGAGTGGAATGAGAAAGACAGCATAATAGATGGGGCCAGAAAATTAGCTGAGGATCAAACTCAGCTTTTTGTCCTTTTTGGCATTGTAAGGCTTTAAGTTGTATTCCGAAAAGGAAGGCAGAGAGGATTTTAACACAAGGCTGTTACGATCTCATGTAAGTTTTTGAAGGCTGCTGTGTGGAACTAGGAAGACCAATGGGGGACTGTTGTTCTAGTCCAGGATTGGAGCAGGCTGGCAACAGTTTTAGGTGGGGAGAAGTTGGACCAAATGCGGTCAGCATGAGTTGCCGATGGATTGAATGTGGAGTATATGCCAAGGTTTTTTAAAAAGCCTAAGCAGGGGCACCTGGGTGGCTCAGTCGGTTAAGCATGACTTCTGCTCAGGTCATGATCTCACAGTTCCTGAGTTCGAGCCCCCCATCGGGCTCTCTGCAGTTTGTGCAGACACATCTTTGGATCATCTGCCCTCCCCCTGACCCCTCCTGTGCTCACGTTCTCTTTCTCTCTCTCAAAAATAAACAGTAAAAAATGAAAAGGCCTAAGCCACTGAAAGAATAGAGTTGCCATTTATTGGAGTGGAGGGGAGTGGGTTTTGGGAGGATGAAATCGAGAGTTTTGGAAGTGACAGTCTAAGATGTCTGGTAGACATCTAGGTGCTATCAAGCAGACAGGTGATATGAAAGTGGCACCTTATTAAAACGATCACTGGTTGTGTGCTTTTGGGGAAAGAGCAAACCCCATCTTGGCAAAATATTTCTGATACTGACGTGTGTGTTTATCACAACAAGAAGATTGATTTCACTTCCCACAAGTCCTTTCAGCATCTTCTGAGGCTTACTCCCGAGACCGCACCTTTTTGTTCCTCACGCCAAACCTCATCTCTGCTTGTGAAGCATTGTTAATCCTAAAACCCTGACTTGAACACTGGCCCTTTTCTGCCATAATTAAGACAGCCTTTCTTCCTTCCTTCCTTCAAAAGAATATTTTGGGACTGTCCTTTCTCAGTTCATACACCTTTCTTAAGCCTCAGTTACCTCAGTCCCAGGCCACATGGCAGGAGCCTCTGGTCCTTATCCTGTAGGAATGGTAGTTCCTTTTCTGTTCTTCAGAACCTGCAGTGGCTCTCCATTGTGTGCCCCTGCACTCGAGTGTCCTCGCTGGTCTCCCCTTCCTTGTGCCATCTGTTGTAACCAGGCTAGATCCCTAACCATCCCCCGCATGCAACAGATGTATTCTTTTCTCATGATCTCTTCTTCCCTGGGCTGCCTGACAGTTCTCATCCTAGCTGTCTCAGGCCCAAGTACCACCTCACTTTAAAGCCTTTCAGAGTTTCTGGCCAACAGTGATCTCCCTCTTATCCCTTGTGTTGTACATTTTGATATTTGGTGATAATCTATCTGGCACTCTCCTGAGTCAGCAGAGCATAGTGGAAAGGGTACAGACTTGGGTGCAGATGTGGTTTGAAGTCTAGATATGTGGCTTTTGGGGAAAGTTTATAAAACTATTCTGAGTTTTCATTTCCTCATCTGTAAAAAAGAAGTGATAATACGTGGACCGTTGTAAGGAACAAATGAAATGCATTGTAAAGTGAATCGTGAAGACGTCAGTTAGAATATATAAAAGTTAGCTTCCAGTGAACAGTATATATTCTTTCCAGTCTTTCTAGCCCCTGAATGGAAGGTACATAAGGAATACTTGTTTGATTGAATGAAAGATAAATATGGTAAATGAAATTCTGGATTTGTTCATGTGTCAGAGATAATTCTTGACGGCTGCTTTCAATGGGCAGCGGTTCTCTGGGCTTACACTCTAGCAAAAACAAGACAACATAGGATTGAAGGAATTGGTTTCTTTGTTCTGATACGATCAGTGCTCTGTTGAGGAAGGAAAAGGCAGAGTCAGGGATGACCCGAAAGTAAAGCATTCCTATGAAGCCTTTGGTAATTCAGCGTAAAACAAAGAGCATCTTTCCAAAAGTTCACATTATGCCACTTGGCTTTTCAGGAAAGACATTAGTACAGTAACAGCTTTTTTTTCTTCGTAAACTTGAAAATCTTCTCCAGACATATTTTGGTTATTGAGATCAGGTACTAATGTAGGTCTTTTTTTCTTTTTCTTTTTTATTAACATTTATTTATTTTTGAGAGAGAGCTCAAGCGGGGGAGGGGCAGAGAGAAAGAGGGACAGAGGATCCAAAGTAGGCTCTGCGCTGACGGCAGCGAGTCCAGTGTGGGGCTCGAACCCATAAACTGCGAGAGATCCTGACCTGAGCCGACGTCAGACGCTCAACCAAGCCACCCAGGTGCCTCTGTAAATCTTTCTTAAAAGAAAAGTGGCTTAACACAAACTTTGCAAAAGCAGGGGAGACCTGTATTTAGTTAAGGTGGCTACATTACCTTAACTCTTGAGAAGTTATATTGGCTTTTTTTTTAAATAATAACTGAGCGGGGCGCCTGGGTGGCGCAGTCGGTTAAGCGTCCGACTTCAGCCAGGTCACGATCTCGCGGTCTGTGAGTTCGAGCCCCGCGTCAGGCTCTGGGCTGATGGCTCAGAGCCTGGAGCCTGTTTCCGATTCTGTGTCTCCCTCTCTCTCTGCCCCTCCCCCGTTCATGCTCTGTCTCTCTCTGTCCCAAAAATAAAAATAAACGTTGAAAAAAAATTTTTTTTAAAAATAAATAATAACTGAGGTCAGAGTGAAGAGTCCCCAAACCCCACCCAAGACTCTACTGTTCATTCTGCCCAGAATTGCTCTCCCCCATCCACCCATTGACTTAGACTCTGCTTAATTGTCATCAGCTCTGTGAAGCCTTTTCTAAGCTCTTTTCATTCAACATAGAAGAGATTGTTTTCATGTGTGTGCCCCCACTGTAGCCTGTATGGACTTCTGGCACAACTCCGTGGTACTTGACTGCGTTAATTTCTCAAGTTCTCTGTTAGCCCCAGCTCCTCCCCTTCCCCATCTGAAATCTTTGAGGACAGAGACTATATCCTATATAGCTTCATATCCCAGGTATCTAACACTGTGTTCATGAATGAATCACAACTTTCTGAAATTTGTTGGTTATAATTACTAGACCTATTTCATGTAAAGAAGTGCTTGGCTTTTTGGAGCAGAGCATAAAGAATAAAAGTGGACAGAAAGCATACTCTGGAGTTACTTCCGTATATTGTCTTTATTAGCCCAAATAGAGCCTAATGAGAAAACAAAACAGCTGCAGTGTGACAAGTGTTTTTCACTTGGCTATCTATGATGAAATTCTCGGTTGGAGCTTTAGGTTAGAAGTTGAGTGAAAATGTTTGTGTCTTTCAGAAATTGGAGCCTCATTCTCTTAGCAATGATGCATTAATGAGGAGAGCTGTGTCTTTGGTAACAGATAGCACCTCCACCTTTCTCTCTCAGACCACGTATGCTTTGATTGAAGCAATCACTGAATATACTAAGGTAAGTGTCCTCTTAAGTTTTGATTGTCTAAACCAGGGGTTAGCAAATTATTGCTCATAGCCCAAGTCTAGCCTGATGGCTGTTTTCGTAGTTCTACTGAAACGTAGCCAGACTCATTTGTTTTTATGTTGTCTGTGACTGTTTTTGTGAATTGAATAGTTTCAACAGAGACTATAGGGCCCACAAAGCCTAAAATATTCACTCTCTGGTCCTTTACAAAAGTTGGCTGAGGCCTCGACCTAAGTCAGTGGGGTTTAGACTTTTTCCAGGAACTCCTTTTTTTTTTTTTTTTTTTTAAAAGTCTTTAAATACAGCATCGCAGTATAAGACCAGAGAACAAAGCTGATTGGGTTCAGTTAGGGGTAAAGGGGTGCAGAGTCTAACACTTGCAGCACCAGGGGCTTCTCTGTGGGAATAGTTTCAAAACCACTAATCTGAGCTAATAGGTATCATTTATAGGTTTATTATACCTTTATTTTTCGTCAGCTTTCCCCCTCAGCCTTCTGGGCTTTTCTTCTACGTTGTATTCTCTGTGTGAATTGCTAACAATCTTTTAAAAACACAAAAGTGGACTAGTGGGTACACTCGTGTCCTAGAATAATGCCTTTGCCTCATACGGTAGTGCGATTTCAGTGAGGTGGAAGGACTGAAGAGCTGGCTATAACAGGACTTGATTTCCTTGAGGTGTAATTCTCCCTAATCCTAGTATGTCTCACCTATTTTACTCACGCTTATTTATTCTATATTTGTAGGCCGTTTACACCTTAATTTCTTTGTACCGACAATATACAAGTTTACTTGGGAAAATGAATTCACAGGAGGAAGATGAAGTGTGGCAGGTGATCATAGGAGCCAGAGTTGAGGTAAGAAAAAGTTATTAGACATTTCTGTGTTAGTGCCCCTGCCTCATTCTGGTATCTAAATTAGTAAATTAAGGTGTCTGACCAGTAACTGTTCTCTGAATCTACTACTCTAAGTCCATTTGAATGTGCTTATGAACCTCTCGTTGTTGTCTGAAGTGCTGTGTTTCATTTACAGATGACTTCAAAGCAACAAGAATACTTGAAGTTGGAAACCACTTGGATGACTGCCCTTGGTCTTTCAGAGATGGCGGCAGAAGCCGCATACCAGACTGGTAGGTTCCAGTTTTCACGACCAGTGTGCCAGTTGAGTTTTCATCTAGCTGTAAAATGAGGGATTTAGATTAGACAGTCTAAGGCCTGTGGCTCTGACTGAAAAAATGTCTCCATCTCCAATCGCCAGGTAGTCTGTGTCTAGAAAATGGTGCAACTGCTGCCAATTAGAAAATGATTGTGTCCAAATGGTTTTTAGGCTTTTTTAAAAATGTTTGTTTATTTTGAGAGCACAGGGGAGGGACAGAGGGAGAAAGAATCCCAAGCAGGCTCCGCACTGTCAGTGCAGAGCCGGATGCGTGGCTCAAACCTTGAGATCATGACCTGAGCCCAAACCAAAAGTCAGGATGCTTAACTGACTGAGCCACCCAGGTACCCCAGATTTTTAAGCATTTGTGTTTTTTGTGTTTTTTTTTTTTTTAAGTTTATTTGAGAGAGAACATGAGAGAGATAGAGGCAGGGAATCCCAAGTAGGCTTCATGCTGTCTGTGCAGACCAGATGCGGGGCTTGATCCCACAAACTGCGAGATCACGACCTGAGTGCAGATCAAGAGTTGGACGCTTAAGCAGCTAAGCCACCCAGGCACCCCAAGCGTTTTATTCTTTTCGTAACACCGATATTTATGAATAACTAGTCATAGAGGGACACAGTTGGAGGAGACTTGAGATCATCAGTCTGTGTGAACCTTACTGAAACCTGGAATCCTAGTCAGTGGCGGATCCCAGACAAATAATAGCTACTATTTATTGAGTATATGTTGTAAGTATTTTATAGGCACTTTCAATTTAAGGAACTTGAGGATGATCTTTCCCACTTTACAAATGAAGAAAATGGGGAGAGAGGGTTAAGAAACCCGTGGAGATGATGTGGTATGGTAAGTAAGCAGCCAGACTGGGATTCAGCCCAATTCTAATGCCTCCACTTTTGTATCCCAGTCATTCACCAGCATGTTTTTTGAACCTCACTATCCATCCAGTGGGCTTGAGCTGAATGTTTTTGAATTTAAAATATTTTAAATAAAACTAGTTTAATCTTACCTGAATTCGTTTCAAACCAGAAACCTAGGGTCAGCTTTTTTGTTTTCTGACTTCGGGATAACAAACTAGGGGCTCTGGTGCCACATCTTAAAAAAAAGCATATATGTTTGGTTTTTTTTATGTTGATTTGAGAGAGTGCATGAGCAGAGGAAGGGCAGAAAGAGAGAATCCCAAGCAGGCCCCTCACTGTCCGCACAGAGCCCGATGTGGGGCTCAATCATGAGATCAAGACCTGTGCCGAAATCAAGAGTCACCTGCTTAACTGACTGAACCACCCAGGTGCCCCACAACATGTGTATGTATTTTTTAAAGTAAAACAAAAAAGAATTGTTAGTGAACTAAAAGCAGAATTGGAATGAAGAGTGAAACAGCAAATATATGAAAGCACCATAGCGGTGCCACAGCAGAGGTGGGAGATGTGCAGTGAACAGGGAGATTTGCTGAGGTGTTACAGCATGAACATTCCCAGGCAACCTTCATCATCCAGGCAGGCTTAGATTGAGCTGGAGGAAAGGGAAAGTGTAAGCATTATCTGGAAAAAGACCTTTTCATAAAACTGATTAAAAAGGCTCACAATTTAAAATCATGGCAAAAAGCTCAATATGAAATATACAAAGAATCCTAAAAAAAACTATAAGAATCAGTCTTATCAGCAATCCTAGATGCAAGATGACAAATCAATAACCTAGAATTTTATATCCAGCCAAATATTATTTCAGATATAAAAAGACTCAAAAGTTTACCAACCACATATGCTTTCTGGAAAAACTGCTTTGTGAATAATGAAATTAGTTTAAAAAGGAGCAACTGAGATAAAAATAGTGAAAAAAATTTAATAAAACTTGTCAAAATTTGAGGCTTTTTTTTTTTAATGTTTGAGAGTGAGAGAACACAAGCAGAGGAGGGGCAAAGAGAGAGGGAGACACTAAATCCAAAGCAGGCTCCAGGCTCTGAGTTGTCAGTGCAGAGCCTGACACGGGGTTGAACTTATGAACTGTGAGAACGTAACCTGAGCTGAAGTTGGACGCTTAACCAACTGAGCCACGCAGGTGCCCCCTGAGTGTTAAATTTTTAAATCAGTTCAGGGAAGAAGTGAAAGCATGCTAAGAAGAGATAGACATTGGCTTAACATTAGACCTTGTTAAACAAATGAAAACTTGATAAAGATTTAAAAGCAAGAAAACGCGAAGTAAATGAACAAGTACCAACATCAATAATTGCAATAGCTAAGAATATGTTCAAAAAAATAATCACAGCAAAAATGATTTACAGAGATACCTAAAACAAAATGTATAGAAATGTTGAAAGTTATAAAAAGCTAAACTGAGCCATTATTAAGAAAAAGAAAGCTATCCCAAAAAGCTCTAGCAGAGCGATGTCAGAATCCGAAAAAGGATTCAAGACTAAAGGCATTAAAACAATCCAGAAGATATCAGTCATTAAGCAATTGCCTGATAAGGAATTCAAAGTGATTGTCATAAACGTACTCACTGGACTTGAGAAAAAGGGGATGAACTCAGAATTTCAACAAAGAGAAAATCTAAAAAGAACCAGAGATAAAGAATTCAGCAATGGAAATAAAAAATACACTAGAGGGAATCAACAGAAGATGAGAGGAGGGAGAGGAATAGATCAATGATCTGGAGGACAGGGTGATGGCAAACAAGCTGAACAGCAAAACGTAAAAATAGGTTAAGGGTACTCGGTGACTTTATCAAGCATAATGACATCCACATGATAGGGATCCTAGAAGGACAAGAGAGAAGACGGCAGAAAACCTTCCTAATCTGGAAAAGGAAACAGACATTCAGGTCCAGGAAGCATAAATAGCCCCTAACAAGATGAACCAAGAGATCCACACCAAGATATACAATTAAAATGGCAGAAAGTACGGGGAGGCTGGGTGGCTCAGTCACTTAAGTGTATCTGACTTTGGCTCAGGTCATGATCTTGCAGTTCATGATTTCAAGCCCTGTGGCAGGCCCTGTGCTGACAGCTCAGAGCCTGGAGTCTGCTTCAGATTCTGTGTCTTCCTCTCTCTGCTCCTCCCCCGTGCTTGCTTGCTCACTCTCAAACAAACATCAAAAAAATAATCAGCAAAATAGTTACATGCAAGAGATACCCCATAAGGCTACTAGTTGATTTTTTTCAGCACAAACTTTGCAGGCCAGAAGGAAGTGGCATGTGTTGAAAGTGCTAAAAGGAGAAAATCTATGACCAAGAATACCCAGCAAGGTTATCATTCAAAATATAAGGAGAGTGAGTTTCCCAAACAAGAGTTAAAGGAGTTCATCACCACTAAACCAGCCTATGGGAAATGTTAAAGGAAATTCTTTAAATGGGGGTGGGGAGAGGCCATAACTAGAAGAAAATTATGAAAGGAAAAAATGTCACACGTAAAAGCCAATATATAGTAAAAGTATTAGATTATTCACTTACAAAGCCAGTATAGAGGTTAAACCACATAAGTAGTAAAAATTGATACAAAAATGAGTCAAAGGATACACAAAAAGATGTGAAATGACATCATATACATAAAATGTGGAGAGAGTAAAAATTTAGTGCTTATAAACTTAAGAAACCAACTTAATATAGACTCTGATGCATATAACATGTTATATATGAACCAAATGGTGACCACAAATCAAAAACCTATAATAGATACACACAAAAACAACCACTAAAGAAAGCCATCAGGGGCACCTGGGTGGCTCAGTTGAGCGTCCAACTTCAGCTCAGGTGATGATCTTGCAGTTCGTGGGTTCAAGGCTCACCTCAGGCTCATTGCTGTCAGCGCTGAGCCCGCTTTGGATCCTCTGTTCTCCACTTCTTTCTGCCCCTCAGCCTCTTCCACTCTGTCTCTCAAAAATAAAAATTTTAAAAAAGCCATCAAATTCACAAGGGAAAAGAGCAAGAGAAGAACTATAAAAACAACCAGAAAACAGTTAACAAGATGGCAGTAAGTATACACCTATCAATAATTACTTTAAATGTAAGGGGACTAAGTGCTCCAAAAGACACAGAAGACGCACTTATGCTGCCTACGGGAGATTCGCTTCTGACCTAAACACACATACAGACTGAAAGTGAAGGGATGGAAAAACATATGCCATGCAAATGAAGTGGGGGGGGGGGGGG